TTTAAAAGTGCTGCATTGAATGTTACGTGTACCCCGTGATGAAATATGAAGGCCAAAGATACGAAATTCATTGAAAGGATATTTTATGAATGGATTTATCACCGAGTTATATATATATAAAGCGTTAATTTCATGAAAAATTATGAACAATGACGTCATAGAATAGTCATAATTCTAGGTTATATATTGTAACTGATATCAATTGAGGGTTGCGTAACTTCTACTTGATATGTGCAAATAAAAAGGCGTGCAAAATTATTTCGTTGACATGGGATTATAATGTGAACAGAGTAAGATGATGAATGTACTTTCGTCATAATAAACAAGTTTATTAATGGGATTAAATGAAGTGATGTTATGATATACGAGAAGTAATTAAATAAAGAGGAACATTTTCAAATGCAAAATCAATCAAACAAAATTAAGGCAATAGTATTGATAATGCTTAAGGGCTACAATAAAGATATGGATAAGATATCTTTTATACGCAAAAGTCAGATTTTGTCTCATAGATGGTAAGAGCTTTTTATTATTCAAATAGCTGAAGACGAAGAAACTTCGATAGATTTGCACGAACTATATTAATAACCTTAAAATCAGCATGTGTGTACGTTGATAGGTTAGCGTAGATTAAATGTTTAAGAAAACTAACCGATTCTTTCTCATTCCCTTTGAACTATATTGGAATGTGTTTTCATATCCATATTAAAAACAAGCACTGGCTACGGCCGATATTATCTTGCTTCATAATAGTTGGTGAATTGGAAGATGCAAATAGAAGCGATCAGACGAGGAGGCCTGATAATAAATTACTTGTAAAGAGATTTCTTCGTTGAATTTTGTGTTTTTTTATGTTTAAACGGAAATCTTAAGTATGATTAAACAAAGAGACGGCTAATGAACAAACAGTCGAAATATTACGGTAGATGTGCTGCTTTTGTTAATAAACGTCGTTAGTAATAATTCAGGATTTAATTTAACAATTTATGATAATACAAAATCAACTATTAAGTCGTGCTTTATGCTGATCGTATTTAATGTTATTGACAACGGATTAACCTGATAAATAAAACTTAAACTTTTGTATTATTTTAAAATGTTCGAAACAGATAAGGTTCAGTTGCTAACATATAAATTAGGCTCTGCAATTCAAAAGAAAATGAGACGAAGGTTTCTTAGCTATTTTGTTTTCTTAAAGTGTGAGTATATTTGTTATTATTCATTTCAGTGTCATGTATTTCTAGAAATCGTCACGTTCTGATTTCATTGTGTAGTAACTTAAATATTACAATACTGCCCGGGTTTCCAGATCGAAACATGTGTTTTTCTTAGGGGACCACACTCGAAGCCTTTGACTTAAAGGTCTGATCTACAAGACGGTGGAACAACGTCAGGATATGTAGTCCCATGATAGCCGGTAACCAATAATTGGTTCATACGCCATTTGTTCCTTCAGGATATTGGAGCCCATCTGCACCACTGGTTTGGAATCGGGGTTTTCCAACCCCCATTAGGCGGACCACCAACCTAGTTAAAGCGCCGGACATTCACTTTTCGTTTTTTCAATTTCGTAAACAACACCCCCACCGCGAGAAGGCTGTGACAAAAACTAGTTCATTAAAATACATCAGTTATTTCATAAGAGTATTCATTTCTTTAAACTCTTGTTCATTATTTAGAATTTATTAGTAAGTAATACTATTCTATGAATAATAATCAATGTCATAATTTGTACAAAATGATAAATGACAATAAACTTTGTTTAACAACTTCATTTTTCATTTTTTTCTTTTAAAAAACGTATTAAACTTAATGTAAAAGTAAACGATATTACTTTTAAAATCAAATGACCTGAATCTATGTTAACAGACATAGGTGAATGAGTATAGAAACACAGACTCATTTACTAATACTCTACTAAGTAAACACAAACTAAATTGATATGATGATTTCTTGTAATGACTAAGAAGTGTGATCAATAATCAAATAGATTCATGTAACGACTTAAACAACGTTCAATAGTCATTGAATAATACACATGCTCAAAATTTATGCATGAATACGATAATTCCGTTGTATTCTATTGAAAATTACGAGTTTGGTTTATTGCTTCATGTTCCAAAATAAAACAGGTTTAAACAGGCATTAACATTAAAGTAAGATGAAAGTTACTCATATCAGGAAAAGAAGATATTATTAGCCGAATTCGGATGATAGGTATATATGTATATATATTACATATGGATATTTTTTTCATTGTGTTTTATCATTCTGAACAAGGTAAGAATACACAGTAAACAATAAAACTAAAAAGTTGTAATAAAATGACTCTTAACTAATAATGGACTCAATAAAGGAACGTTTTTTTAAAAATTTATCACAGATTAATTCAAATTGATTTCGTAATATGAATAAGTTAAATCTTGTTTCATCTTATTTTTTACCATTTTGAAAAGTAGTGTATACTAATCGATCATTCATTTTATGTACTGCAGTGACTCGTAAGTTAATGGGTAATTTCCAGGGGATTGAATATTATTTGAGAAAAGTTTAAGAATATTCAAAGTGATTAAAAAAAACAGCAAATCATTTCATCTGTTATTTTCTTGAATTGGAACTCTTCACTTTACAATGATCAAATACACATTACCTATTGCAATTGATAATCTGTTGAAAATAAAACTAAATCTTGTTTGCTCTGTGTATAATTGTCAGTATGTCTTTATACAGAAAAATAAAGAAGGAATCAATTTTTTAAAAATGTTTTTGGCTTAATGGTCATCAAATCACTGAGACGTACATCGGTAGAGCAAAAAGTGAGGTTCTTATTCATGTCGAGTAAATCTCACTGAAATTGACATTAAAAGTACAACGTATCGTTTAACACTATATACGCCCGTCACTAGCTGGATAAAGGACATGAAGCTGAACTCACAAGATCCTTAAAATTAGTCAGTAAATAGGAAAAAATAAATCTACTGCTTTTCAAAGAAACTATCACTAACAAATTATTGGAACACATTTTATGTGTTCAGAAAAGGAATGCCGTTAACTTATCTCTGCTCCACCAACACAAGTTTCAGTACTTAGCTGTGTATTGGCTCTTGTTTGGACGTAATTGATATTACATTTGTTGTAGTTTAACTTATGTCATTAAAATTCCACTGCCCACCTCCTCTCTAAAATCATTCAAACATATATTCTAAAAGTGAACAATTTTATGCTAAGTGTCTTGATATACCCTTGTTTTATCTTCAGTTTCGGATCAGTACTTTGTTGTCAATGTGATAAAATGTTTTAAATTTTCTTAATTGAGAACTCATATTATTTATTAAGTTATGAACAGCTAAACCAAATTCATGAACTAACTGGATTTATATTATTTTTGTTATATTACATTTTTTGCATTATAGAGATTAGTAGAGGGGAAAATTAAGTGGCTTACAATGAAGTAGATTTTTCACTTCGATGGAAGTCTGTAGGTTGTTTCCTAATGGATATCCAAGCATGAAGAGAGTAAATCGAAGCTAAAGCAGACTACTTACATTAAAGATATCATCATGTAACCGCTTACACTAACACATGACAGCAATTTAAGTTGTGACAATGAAAAATAAGACTGGATCTGTGTACCTTGGTCTGTGAAAAAACAACTAATTGTTCGAAGTGTATTAATAAACTGGATAACTAAATAAAATCACTATGAAGATAAAAAAATATAGGTTGTATCCATTAAGTAACTGTAAGTTCACCGAACTTTGCTGATGACTTCTTCTGAATTACATGAGTATCGTCTTTGATGACATCCAGACAGAATATCTTGGAGTCATATTTTATTTAGACATCATTATTCAATAATACAACATATTAATGAAACAAAAATAGCTATTTGTGCAACTAAAAGAACTTAGATTTCTCACAATTTAATGTGAAATTTTAGTCTAAAACAAAAGTATGTTACATTGAGGAGTGGATTCTTTTTCTTTGGTATTTTTTATTTTAAACTGAAATTAACTGAACCACTACGCGTCGATACAATAGGTCTACAACGTTCAAATACATTATATTTAAACATTTTCTCATTTTAATTATGACAGAGAAAATTAGTAACTATTTAATGTAATAGATATTTGTTCCATAATAAATAAAACAAATTTCGAAAGCTGGAAAACCTATAAAATTGCTTTGATTAGGTAGCTTTTAATTTATCCTAATAACCTGTTGACTAATCATTATTATTGGAATCGAATTGTCTACTTTTAAATAACCCGAAATAATTTTATGATAAAAGATTTTATTTTTCGAATTCGGAGAACATTTATGAACGAGCTATTTTACAGAAAACTAGACATTTTGTATATTGGCGTGGTACTTTTACATATATACTGATAAAACCTTCAAGTATCTGAAGGGCTTTTCTAGAGATTTTAGTAATTTCAGTTGTTGAGATTATGAGTCAATCGAAGCTGGACCAGCATGGAAAACCTGGAAGCACTGGACGGCCGTTTCCTCTTATTGTGGGACTCAGCAGTGCGCATCCACGACCCCGCCTCGCGGGATTTGAACCTAGGACCTACTAGTATTGCGCGAGAGCACTTAACCACTAGAACACTGAACTGAAACGTAACGGCCGTCCAGTGCTTCCAGGTTTCCCATGGTGGTCTAGGTTCAATTGACTCATGATATCAACAGTTGAAAACCTACAAATGTTGTTAATATTATCTGAGAGTGTGTCATCTATAACAACAAATTCTTGGGACAAAAATTTAATTGATGGTTTAATACATTTAACTGTACAAATTACTATCAAATAAGTTAGTACTGTTCTTCGACCGATCGTCACTCTTTTAAGTCTCATGTATTAAGTAATATATAGGACTGTGACTAAATTATCGAATGTTTTTCTATATTTGTAGTTTGACGTGTGGCATTTAGAAACATTTTAAAAATATCACATGTAACCGATAATAAATGCATAAATCAAATAATTATTGGCTTACTCCGCATAGACGAACTAACGCTAAAGATAGATGCTGTTTCTGAGCCACTTTCATTTGTTTGAGATATCCATGCTGGATCTAAACTTGGACGATATGTACTGTGTCGGTCCTGTAAATTAGTTGTTTTGAAGGATTCACTTGATGTACGAGGTGCTGCTGGTGTTGATGAACGTCCTGTACGACGACTTTGGGATGGTCTCATGGTAGCTGAATAGTTAAGATAAACTATGTCATTAGGATCATGGCACTTCTGATTGATACCATTCGATAGTTTGTTGAGATTATATGCAGATCTAGATTGGCTTAAATGATTATTCTGATCATCAGACATTGCCATGTAATCTATAAAGGAATTTAACAATTTATAGGATGTCTTGATAAGTAGGTTTGCTTTAAAAATCAAATAGTCCTTTGATTTGAAACGAAAAGAAATGTCCTCATTGCATTGTACTTACATAAATATTGAGGTAGACCTGAATCACTCTGAAAAATGCAGAAAGGTCAACTTTGTCATTGAATGTCGATTAATAATTAGTTTGTCCACAGCTTTTATTTTCTCGTTTTTCGTGTTGTGACTGTTTTTTTTTATGGGATTTAGCCGGATCCTACTCACTTAATCATTCAAATGTTAAATACAGAAAATGCATTTAATAGCTAACTGATTGTTTAAATAAAGTTAGCTGAAATGAGGAGATTTGTCCACTTCTACTGCCTTAATTTATGTCAACACTATAGAACAAGTAAAATGATGATCTAAATCACTCACTTTGACAAATGTATAGTGTTAATAAAACAGAATAGCTTGGAGACAACACAGGAGCCTCACTAATATTTCATCTTTAAAAAGTGTCAAGCTGCACACTTTTATAACTAATTCCTTGTTTTGACTTATATAATAAGAATATTCTATACATTTTCTTTTCAAGAATGCTTGCTGAATAGTAAGATTTCGAAAATTATTTTTCTTTTATATCCATAAATTAACATTCATGCAAGAGATGATTTATTTTTACAATTTTTGTCTCCATTGTATTAGAATAAACGTAGATTAATATTTTTGTAGTCACTTTCTTTGTCTGTATTTTATTATAAACTTATGGGATATTACAACTAAACACTTGATCAAGTCATGTATTTTGGTTAATTACATATTTTAACTCAACTAACATTTCAACGAATGAACTTGAGGATGACATTCCCAATTAGCTTAATTGATATGAGATAATTAATTAATTCAATAGAATTATTCATGAGATGAAATCTACTTATGAACATGAGCGAGGAATATAATCTGTAGTGACAGATATTAATTTGCATATGTTATAAGAAAATTGCTTAAGATAAAAATAGATGGAAAGATAAGTAAATTAAGCATGTCGCCTAAAGAGTAATATAAATAAGCTTTCTCATTCTGCCTTCATATCGCGAGACTAGGACCAAGCTATATATAATGAAACAAATATTTAATAGTAATTTAGAATTTTCATTTACTAATAAGAACTATTTCATCATCACAATCAAAACAAGTATTTATGTTATACATAAAAACTTTCATCTAAATTTGGACAAACAGTTTCACAGTAGTTAGCTTAGTTGATTTAGTATTCACATAAACCCGGGACTTAGTTTGTTGTCTACTTTAAATTAAGTTTGATAGTTTTGATTTCGAAGATTCAGATTAATTTGATCTTCGTTAACATTTTTACTTCTGGCTTATGTAGGCTACAAGTAAAGTAGAATGATGTAATATAATTCTGATTGCAACCAGAATACGATTAAAAACGTGATTTATCAAGTTGAGAGACACCATTATGTCACATAGTGGAGAACGTTACACAGCTGAATGGGTGAAACGGAGTTATTTTTATATTAAATGAGGTGGTGGATATTATAGGAAGTAAGAGCGAGTAGCGTACGGTATATCTAAAGTCGAATATTTGGTAACAAGATTTAAATGTCAATTTTTAAAAAGATTCCAATGATATTCACAATTGCAAAAAGTAGATGGGCGAAAACCACTCAGCGAAACTATGGAGAATTAAGTGATGAGTAAGCATGTCAAATCCGTAATAAATGGATTTGGCATAAGATAAAAAGAATTACGGAAATGAAATAGCTTGATGATTTTATATGCGAATTTGTAAATATGAATAAATTGAATGGTGTGACATCTCTTCTAAACGTTTACTTGTCTTGAGATACAACCTACTTAAGAAGACAAATGCATAACTCCTTCAACACGACGAATAGCAGATAAGAAATATTGATGATAAATACAACAGTAAATCAATTTGAAAGGAAAAACTTTCTAAAGACTGTTCATCTCCTTGGTTTCAAAAAACAACAATCTTACTTTTATTATCATTAAAATCTATGGAATCAGATATAGAATTTAATTTATAACCACTTATGCTGGTATTCATCCATGTATTATTTCTTATCATGTGGTTCCCTTTAAGTGTATTACAATGACCTTTCTCAAATTCAGGTAATCCATCTACTTCAGTTATTCCATTTTGCTTTGAGAAGTCATTCAGTCGCCCCATACTAGAACACCTTTGCTGTGATCGTATACGTGAAAATGATCTTCGACGAAGATTACGCTTTAGATAATTACGAATTGGAACTAAAAATGCAAAGGGATGAAAGGAATATTTTGTAATATAACGTAAATAAAGATATAGTCATTCTACGAAACATGAAATTTCTCTAGTAATCTGTACGAGATTCTATCAAAATAACTAAGCAAATTTAAAGTTAGTAGTAAACCTTCAGTCTACATTTAATTTGTAGAGGAAAGTTCTTTTTACTGCAGACTCAGTCAGCTACAACGTAGGACCAGGCACATATATGCATCGGTTCAAGTTGCCATACTTCATTAGCACAAAAAGATGAACACCGAATTGATACTACAATGTTAGTAATATATAAAAGAAAGATTGCATACAAGGATATGATACAGGAAGAAAAAGTTAGTTCGTAGATCTAAAAATATAAAGCAGTTTTATTCTGGCGGTTTAAGGGGAGACAAAGAGTGTATATACCTACTCCATAGTGATCGATTCTGAGCCATGTCATCCAGAATCTCCAACCATCGGTTATGATAGTCGCGCGGACCCCAACCAGGTAGTCTACCAGCATGACTCAGATCAGAAGTTAGTGACTTCAAGGACTGATGCAACGTTTTGATTTGGCCGCCCTTAACTTTCTTTTAACCGTCTCTAACACTAGTCAGCTTTGCGCGTCGTGGTAAACGGTGTTCAGGCATGCATAACACTTTGCCCAACCATCTCAGTCTATAAAGATTCACAACCTCATCAACTGATATAACATCATTCTCCAATACCCTGCGTCTAACCTCACTATTCGACTTCTTCACTCTCTATCCTTAGTTTAGATGTTGATGCAGTCCAGCTCTGAAGTAACAATTCGCATTTAGAATGGGAGAAGCGCATCTCGAACATCCTGGCATTGTTGCTCAATGTTACCAAAACACTCTTCATTTTATCGGCGTCTTCACCAAACAGGAATATGTCATCTGCTCATTCTAAGTCGATAAGTGGACCTCCTGGAAGGAGATCGATTCTTGAAAATCCAGTCGGCGAGAACGTTATTTCCAGCAGTAGGTCTATGATGAAGCTGAACAAAAATGGGGATAGTGAACATCCTTGCCGGAGACCAATTGAAGTTGCAAAATCAGATGACAGTTCTCCGTAAGCTCTCACTCGACTGGTAGTGTTCGAGTAAAGAGCCTTCACAAGGTTTATGTACTTCTGAGGTACGCCTTTCAATGACAGAAACTGACACAGAACATCTCGGTCAACAGAGTCAAATGCTGCTTTTAAGTCAGGAAAGACCACCATTATTGGACACCGATGAGCATGCCTGGGTTCTAAAATTTGACGAATGGTGAATATGTGGTCGATACAGCCATGACCAGGTCTGAAGCCAGCCTGATTTTCTCGTGTTTGCAGTTCACGAGTCTTAGTTAGGCGTTCGATAATTATTGAGGCTAGTATTTTAGACGCTATATTAGTCAAACTAATCCCTCTAGGATTATCACGGGATAACTTTGACAGTTCGTGCGAAACCATAAAGACTGAGTTCTGATCAAATTTTATTGTTTGATAGTAGACAAAGTTGGATGATTGTTATCACTTACAGCTATTTTAGCACATCTTTAGCCACTCCTAATAGGAATTTGTGAATAACACCCTCCTATGTATATTTTTCCACATACAAGTAAGTTATTAAACAGATTGGAACACATGATTCAATTGTTTACAGGCTATTTATGCTTCTGACGAATCTTGTACATCATTTTTTCAATAGTCATGACTTTAACTGCATAGCACATCACACTGATAACCAACTTAAGTCTTCGTTTCAGCTCATGAAAAATCTAAAATCTTTAGTACACATTATTAAGGATTGCATTATAGCCACGTTACATTTGCTTGTGTTTTATGATATTGTATCCAGGTGTATATATATGCATATCAAAAATTCAAGTCCAATCTCGTTCCTAATGTATATAAACTTAGTAGTAATTAAATAAATTAACAGCCAAAATCGTTTTATTTTTATTGAAGTTTGTTCTGTTTGTAATTATGACTTTAGTGTAGATTTTTGTTCGATAAAAGCTTTAAAAAAAAAGATTATTTTCATTATGATGAACAGGAATGAACTTTGACACACTGTTACGATGATCATGTTCAAACAGGATTTGAGTTCTTATTGACATATAAACGTTGAAAAATTAATATGAAACTTGTGTTATTTTTTTGGCTTAATCTCATTATGCTAAAACGATTTAACTGGTCTAAACAGTGTTACATAGTATTATGATTATTAGAACGTAATTAATAATGATAATAAACTCTAATTTTGTGTTAAACTCAGATTTTTCTACAAGATAATTACTAGACCAGATAATAGTTATTATAATCCAGTTGACCGATAAGACTGGATGTTCAGTTATTTAAGATATAACTGACCATAGGTGCTGGTTAGAACAATTAGCATACCTAATGATACAATCTAATTCGATTTAAGCAGTAAAATAGTAGTAGTTAAATTATGCAAATAAATTTCTGTCGCGTATTCGATGTTTAAATTGGATTTTTTTAAAGTGATAAGTAATACCAACATTTAGGAAATTAATTTTTATGATTGTATTATGTTCCAAGCTTTAGTTGGTTTTTCAGGTACTTCTATCTAGGTAAAAGGTTAAATTGAATTTTAAAAGGGAAAAGAATTTATGAAATATTTTATGAAAGAATTTGGTCCACTTAACTGTCTTGTAAAAACTCAATAAAAGCCAATAATATACAATAAATAATTGAAATAAACAAAACATAATCAACAAATGGGATTTCGAAACTGAAAGCAAATGGAATGCAAAATTGTAGTTATAGGAATGCATAACAAAAGTATTAAGTTGAAAGAGTTTTTTTTCTGACATAAACCATATATGCTTTTCAAATGGACAGCAGAAAAATAAGAATCTGAACATTGTGAAACTGGAGTTAGACCCTAGGGGTAAGGTAAACATGGTAATAAAATGTGATCTGGGTAGAGAAATAATGGCCAAGTGAATTTATTCAAATAACCTTCTGAGACTTAAAAGAAGAAAGCATAATCATCCATAAATTCTGCAAACCAAGGTGGTAACCCAGGTTACGTGTTTAAATTTGGTTAAGATTTTCAAAATTCCTACCTAGCTCATATCTATCAAAGCAAATCCGAAGTATTCGAAACTTTATGATAGTAGGAAGATTTGCTTATGTATATGCTTCAGGATGAGTAATTTTGCGGTAGATCTCAATGATTTGAAGATGATTTCCTCCGAAAACTTGTCTCATGATTAGAATCATTTAAGCCTGAGCAGTTTCAAAGAGCTGCTAAACACTATTTTACTTAACACCGGAGAGTTATGCTGATATGAATGAGTGTGGTGACAAGTGTCTAAAGTAAGGACCCGTGGATTCTCGTTCGTAGACCTAAAGGTGCCATCCATAAACATTCCTGAAAAATTTGAGTCCCTCTTTATTGACTATTTTTAAAGGGCTCTTCAATTTACCTCAGTCAGAGATGAAACGTATCTCTAAACTGTATAGCTTTATTGTTTTGATGAAATAAAGATAAGAAAAGGTTATTGTTTCGAAATTCATAGGAATAATATGAGGTTTACAATTACTCATTTTTCATATAACTGGATAAAACGGGAATCTTATTAACATACTTTAACATATATGTCAAATCGTGGAGTACTTACCAACATCTTGTTCATGAAAACCTTTAATTAAATCTGCTATTTCTATGTGATTAGAAATCATTGCTTGTTCATAAGTCGTGTGTCCATTGAAATTTTTTATATTTTTATCAGCACCTCGAAATAACAACATCCGAGCACAGGATTCTTGCCCGGTGTATGCACATATATGAAGTGGGGTGTTGCCGTTTTTCGATGTTTGTACATTAATTTCAGCACCGTAGGCAAGTAAAATTTCCAAATGTTGTACACGACCAAATCGACATGCCTATTTGAAATAATCAGGAAAATAGTTGGGCAGAGGACTTATTCCATAACCACTGTGAAGACTGTTTAACAGTCAGCATATGTATGATTAATTAATAAATGGTTGATTTTTACTTCAGCTCAAGGTTTTAATTAATGTTATCATAAACGCCGTTTATTTACCTTTCCATCACATACCTGATACCAGTAAAGGAGGTGTACATGACATGTTCAGATAAAAACATCTAATTACTGGACACCTGAAGCTTTATAGGTTTTACAATACAACGTATATATGGTTATTTTTAACAAGGTAAATAAGTTAGAAAATCAAAAAAGATTCTCAGTATGGTTGCAGAGAACTGATAGGTGAAGAATTTCGGAAATCATATTGCTAATAATAGCAGAATGTATATTAAAAGAAACTCCATTTAAACAAAAGATGCTTGATATCATGTGATATAATTTGTTTTCTATATGGTTAGATGTTTTAAACTACCATTGGTAATGAAACAGTGTTTACCACATGTAAAGTGCGGATTACTTTGTAGCGAACGCCTAGTGTTTTCTAGTTGATGCCATCATTGAAGACAAATGGATAAACTCTAATATTATTATGCATAATATGAAGCTTCTTCAACATAATCATTCTTATTTACATAGGTACAATAGTTTTCAATTAATTTTTTAGTTATATATATATCGTTGTGTTTGTTAGTCACAAAATATTTTGTTCTTACTGATTGTACATCTATGTATAGAAGTTTACAGTAGAGTATGTAGAACCTACAGAATATTGTAACCACAGGCGACAACAAATTTCAATAGTAAAATGATCTTTAACTTCTTGAAAAGGTCGAAAATAAGTAGGTGTTCACTGCAACTGTCCAACTGTTTACCAAGTTGCTTGTATTTACGGAAACTCATTTTACTTTTATTAGTCACTTGTTAAGATTTAGTAAACAAGTATCATATAAGGTTTGTAAACAAAATACTGCTAATTTTTTACATCAAGTTTAAATACAAAGGTTTCAGGTCATTATTGATATTTACTCTGGTGTACATATTCTTGAACACAAATCTCAGAGATAGTTTATATCGATTTCATAGTCCAAAATGAATAATGTTCTTGCATGTGAGTATTATTAATAATATTTGACTTGATAATCTCAAACTAATTACGCATTTAGTGGATTATTGATAATGATAAAATAATGATATATATGTATTATTTAAATGAGTATAAAGCTGAATTCCTAACATTTCTAGGCTAAGTATAAGTCGTTTCCTCATGGAACTAATTTGAACCAAATTACTTTTTTTTCTAACAACTTACAGTAAATTCACTTGTTGTTCTACTTGAATCTTCCCATTGCTATTTAGGACTGGAATTGATCAGTTTCATGTTGGCATATGTGCATCCTTTTCAGATTGCCTCGATACAGCCTTAAGTAACAAGCTTCTTAAGCGAAGATGGATAGTGGCTAGTAGTGGGATCCAGAATACGCGTTTCGTCCTATTTGGGACCCGTCAGCTGGATGTACCTGGATTCCAGAGTTGATGTTCACTCTGGTACTTGAGCCCAGTACCGTTCGCTTCAAACGCCATCGCATTCTGGATTCCACTGCTAGCCACTATCTATCTTTGCTTAAGAAGCTTGTGACTTAAGGCTATATCGAGGACGTCCGCAACGGATGCACATATACCAACATGAAACTGATCAGTTGCAGTTTTAAATAACAATGGGAAGATACAAGTAAAACAACTCCAAGTGAATTTAAATTTCACCCCATTGCGCAAGCAGGTGGCTATCACGACTAAGTAGCTAAGTGGATAGCGTTATGGAGTTTGGAGCGAACGGTACTGGGTTCGAGTTCCAGAGTGAACATCGACTCTGAGATTCAGGTATATCCAGTTGACGAGTTCCAAATAAGATGAAACGCGCGTCCTGGATTCCACTGCTAGCCACTATCCATCTTCGCTTATACAACGGCATTGCTATTACTTCCAGTTGTTTTAATTTCGGTAACTATGTAGAAGTTGAAGAACAACTTCAAGCGAAATATATTATTTTAACTCATTTGCTTATGTTTGGAAAATTGAAAGATGACTGATTTACTGTAAATGAACGTATCCGGTAGCCAGAAAGTTAAACAATAAAAATTTAATCTAAATAGATCTTGAAAAGTTTTCCTTCTTACACTAAAAGACAAAGGTGCCAGAGCATGATATTCCTCCTAGAGTAAAATCGTAGCTAATTCAATAATGAATAACACATTCGAGGGTTATTATTACCTTACAACATCACATACGTGATTTATTAAATTTCGAATAACACACTATTCATTACATTCGCTCTTTATTAGCAGTTTATTAAACCATAAATTATTTTGCGATTGGGGGGGGGATGTTTTCCTCTAAATTCATTATTTCTTTTGTTTTGTTGTTAATTCATGAATCGAAAGATTGATGGATATGTATTAATAGATAAATGTTAGGAAAAACGTTATCATGGTGAAGTAAAGTAGAATTTATTATCACAAATGTATATGTAGTCAACAAAATCTCTTGTTATTTAAATCAACATTTACGTTTGTCAGTCATCTCCCTTTTTATTATTTTCCGGTATAAAAAACTATTTCAAGAAAAGTAGTTTCTAGTGCTTATATTACTCCAGATGTGACAATGATCAAGAAAAATACAGCCATACGATCTATGGGTAAATCGGCTGGCAAAGATATTGTCTGATGAGATATTTGTATAACATTTATTACGGAATATTTTTACAAACATAACTCATAAAACTCACACAAATTTAAAAATTACATAAATTTAAAGCTTTAACAATATATTTGATGTGGATCATACAATTCCTGAATGAGTAATTGGATGACCCCATTACTGTTTAAATAATATTCAACAAGATATGATAGTTTCTATGATGGATTAGTTATTTAAATAAATAAAATGGACTACCAAGTCTACTTCAGCTTTTTTTCCAAGTTAAAGACCTCTACTAGTCCACTATTTCTATATATTGTTTTCTAATTAAAGACTAACAGAATTTTAAAATATTTATTCAAATTTTGACAACAAAATACAAATATTATTGTAAGTTGAACGTTACAAGAGCTCGTTCATGCGGCTTACTAGTCCCAGTTATTAATCATTAATCAATGAACTGATTGTTTCGTTTGAACTAGCTGAAAACAGTTAGCTTTTATATTTTGACAGTACAATTATTACTGTTCAGATAGTCTAATAACTTCCATAAAGAGTATTTAACATAGTAGTTTACGGATAATTTTTAAGAAATTAATTAATTTGATGCCTTTTTGAGCAGTAATTATAAAATATAATTACAGATATTTTAAAATGTTAGGTAATGTTTAATGACAATTTCAATTGGTTATGATATTCAAAATTAAGTCACCTGATGTATTTCTTGAAGTCCTGCTTCATCTGCTATTCCAAGAGGAGAATGATCAAATAGTAATCGTTCAACACATAAAGATATTGTGTTGTTCAATACTGCATAATATAATGGTGTTAAATCTGCCTTATCCCTTGTATTCGGTGATTGACCAAGATCAAGAAGTACCTATAAAACATACATTGTAGATAAAGTCAGCTCACCAGAAGAATGAATAGAAAATAAATCAACGACTAAAATCAACTACCTGAAAATATTTAATATCGATCCGTAGCAGTCCGGTTATTTGGTTAAGACGCCAAACAGGATTACTCGAAAAAGTAATTCAGTACATTTATGTTGAAACAACAGAGGCGAAATATTTAGATTTCCTGGCTATATTTTCGTAAATGAGGTCAAGTTAGGCTTAGTAAAATTGAGTGACTATACAACGGTTTATTACGTAGGTTAGTTTATGAAGAGTTCGGTTAGTATAAATGTATCTCTTTCTACTAGCAGAAACAACTTAAATCATTATTTGAAATCAAGAGGTTAATAGACAGACTCAACAGGGGTGACTTCAGATGTCAGGTTAATTACTTGAAAAGTTTGTTTAAACTGCATGACATTCCGTTAACATTCGCTTGCTTTTATTTCGCAACATGACACTTTTTAGGTGAAAAGGTTCTATATTTTTGGAAACGTGATCATTACTTATTTTTCCAAACTGAACACAATTCTGTATCTTATCTGTCATAATCAATAAAAAGATTCTCAAGATTTCGTCCTACATATAGCGATTTGCGAAACAATAGTTCATTAAAAAAATCAGTCCTTTATTTTTCCAAACACATTTTTTTTTAAAAACTAACAAGAGTATTCACTCTAAACAAAATGTAAGTTTGTTTTCTATGTTGTAAACCATTACTCTATTATTTATTTATCTAAAAAACCAACGAAACAAACATTTTTCCATTCTACTTATCAAACTAATCGAAGCAAAAAACATCTAATTTTTATTATACATGCAGTTGTACATTTATAACTACAAAATACTTTTTCCAATTACCACATTTCAGATTATTTTTGACAAGACAAAACTATTTTTTTCTAAATCAAGATATTTTTCTTGAAACTACTTGAAAAAGGTCTTGAGTAGTATGTCAAAAAGTAAAGATTAATCAGTTTTAAAATAATTAATAACGTGAATGACATAGTGAAGTGATAACACTTCAACGACTTTTAATGAATCAACAAAGATTCAATACTTCAACGAATGAGCTTTTTAAGCAGTTAACTTATCAGAAATTATTTTGTTAAGTTCAATTTGTTTCTATGTATATGCTTTATCTATATAAATGTTGATCATTATTACAATGTTCAAACTAGTCATAAAAACACATTTAACAGTGGCAAATTTTAACATAATTAGAAGTTGGATAATGCGAATGAAATTTATTTGGCGGATTAATGTCAATTAAATGTAATTTGGAACAGCATGAAAAAAAGACATCTTCAATGGATGTTCACTTGTGTTACATTATGAAATTTAGTATTGATATATATGTGTCCGAATAAAATACTAATCTGCTCTGTTTTTTGTAAACTAGCATTTGACAAACGTTATATGAAAGACCAATCAACTCTTAAACAGTAAAGTTGTCAAATATAGGTACTGAAAAATTTTCTCAAGTATATGATGGTTTAATGATTAAAAGTAACCTCAAGTATTATCATACTTTTGCCTTCATAGTGTGATGTGTGCTACTGATGTTGACAGATATAAGTAGTGTGTATCATCATCGAAAGTGGAGTGCCTGGCGGCAGAAAGTTGTGAGAATAGAAGACAACGAGATCAGACAGTATTTGGTATGGAAACGAAGGAATAACAAAGTCTGAGACAGTTGATGGATATTTTGCAAATGAAGTATTACTGTATGGTCCTCAGATTTTACCAAGATGTATTAAAAGACATTTAGTTATCCCCGACTTTGTTCTCGTTCACTACAGTAGCACTATGTCTTTGATGGATTTTTCAGCAGATAGTCAAGCCTCAGTTTATCTGAGTTCACTTGTCTAAGCTGCTTTGTCGTAAGTTAAGCATAGCTTAACTAATTAATAACTGTAATTTATAAATATCCCAAGTACAGTAGTAAAACCTATTTTCCTTCAACCTACATAAGTTATGTTAACTGATATTAGTTCAACACTGGTATTACAATTATGCTAGCTGTTACAATAATTATATCAAATCAAATTTTTCCTACATTACATAGCTTTCATGTTTCAGCTAATGAAAAACTAGAATTATGTTTCGAGACTCGGTACTTAATAAAATCTCACAAACTATTGAGTGTTATCGGAGCATTGTAAATATGGTGTCGTGGAGCTATGTAAAGTTTTTTAATTATTGTTACGATTCACCTAATTTCCAATAACATATCGTTTGTAGCGTAGAATGTATTGCTTTTGTTCATCTCTCCTTGAAATGTTCATTTAGTTGTAAAACCTAATGTGCTATGATCGTCTTCTGGATAGAAGTACATGGTTTGTAATTTAAAGTCGCAAATCTCAGGATGAAAATTATATTACATAAGTTGTTAATGGCATTCCCTTGGATGAGTGCTTAGATAATGGTCAAAATTTAGAAGTTTATTAGATTTTTACTAGTAATCAATAAGAACTCGTTTTATATGATAGAATAAATTATCATTAACCCCTTAACAGCTAAATATTTTTCTTCCAATAAACAGGTAACTTGCTGGCAAACCAAATTTATCACTATTGTGTTTACTAGATCTCAGTACATATCGTTTTATTTAAACGATAAGAAATTCTGACCTAGTATATAATGTCACTCCAACCTAACTGTTAGTCGATAAAAGTTGTTTATATCATAAATACGACCAAAAGTTTACTTGGTTCTGTTTACAAGGAAACTTTAAACAATGTAGGTAGTTAAAGTGAAGTTTCAATATGTTCAAAATTTGAAATCAATCAATGGATTTTGTGAACGACCATATGAACATAAACATGTTAAATGGTTAGTAATCACTGTTTTCCTATGGGTAACGCGACTGGACTACAAAATGTCAACTTAAAAAAATATGAAGCATATATGGAACAATATGAGGAAATTTCCTGTACAAAAGATGGATAATTTATCAGTTTGGTTTAAGTGAAATTAAACATTCTCTAAACCATCGTCAACAGTAATATGGTATTGTTTTTCTAAAGAAAAATAACTGCAAAATTATATGCACAAAAACATATGGTTGATCTTATCTAGTCAGGCAAGAACAATAGAATTTTCTATTTTTATTCCTAACATGAACTTCCGTGTGGATGTGATCAAGTAATCAATCGTGAATCATAAAATGACATGGCCATGAAAAGTAATGTCAAGGATGAAAACCCAGATATTATTTTTGTGGATATTTCTACTAACAAGCAGCAATGTATTTATGCAACTATTATATGTTTTAAAAATCACATCAGCACTTGGCCATTCGGATATATATTTCATTCTGCATAATAAAATCACTTGTTGGATCACGTTTACAAATTATTTAGTAGATTGAAGGCAATGTCACAATCGAGTTCTATGTAGTTATCGATGTCTACCAATGACTAGACTAATTAAATGCTCTCAGTACAAAATTTTCATGAATTCAGTTGGCTTAAAAGAAAACCCAAATTATGACTTTGTGCTTCGCAATATTTAACAGCAGAAAATGCTCTAAATTCTACGTAAACTCAAAATCATGACAATCTCCACTTTGCAAAATAAAGGGAACGAGAAACTTAAGGAAGGTTATCTTGACTAATTGAAGACGTGTAAATCTGTATGCCATTACGTGATAAAAGCGGTAGCCAGTTTCTGAAGTGTGTCAGTAAACATAACTTCTGAAATTTTATGAAACAGATACTAAACCCAGAAGCAATTGTAAATGTGATAATGGATGATCATATCAAATGCTGTCGAACTAGGAGTATTTAACTTCATTATTCACACGTGAAACACTGTTTAAAATATAGTAGGCTAGCAATTAAAAAACAGCACCAAAGATGTAATCAGTTAAAATAACTTATACATAATTGAAAGCTTTAAAACACATTTATCAGACGTTTCTCTACTTTCTATGAAGACTTTTAATACCCATAATTATTTGTTTCTTGAAAATATCTGTTTTTTAGTATTCTTTTCAGATTATATTCTCTTTTTTCGACTTGTTGCTTACTTCAATTCCTTGTTAATTTGACTTCTCATTCTGTCACATTTATTATATTTATGTGAAAGTAATTATAAAAATATAAATCTGTTTCCCATCGATAAAGAAATTGAGTTGAAATTAAATATTATGTAATTTATCCAGCTATATTACACGGTAACAGTAATCCAATTATCAAACATTGCAATTCCTAACATTAAGAAAAAATTCCAACATCACAAAAGTATTACATGAAGATGAGAGGATATTTAAAAATAAGATGATTGTGACTAAATGGCTGATGTGAATATCGTCATTCCAATGAGATTTAATGTAATCTCAGGGTCGATTTCTCGTTAAGAACTAACTTCAAATACGGAGCTTTTGGTAACTTATGAGTGCTGAATTATTACTTCACATACGTCCGGGTTTTATAATCAGTGTTCACCTTCTATACAATATATCATAGCAAAATATGAACTGCCATTTCAATCTTAATTTTCAACCTGTATATAACCGAGGAAATAGTGACTAGTGGTTTGGAAAAATTTGAGCGTTAGGTAAATGATATTCCTTTACTTTAATAAAGCTATTAGCATAAATTAGAGGAACGTTACTGAAAACAATTTTGTTTTATTTTTCACAGATTGGAAAATATAACTTTCTAATAATAATGAAATGGTGACTACTTCAGAAATTCAATTGCTTCCGTAGATTATTACACTATTAAACTATACTAAACACTTAAGTTAATAAAATAGTTCTACAATTTGAAAATCTGATATCTTTTATTTCTAGTAAGAAACTTTACATTCCACAGAACTATGTTGTTTTAGATTTTACATTTGCAGAATGTTCATAAGGGAGTCAAAAACATTTTAGTTAGTTTTCTCACTGACTATTGCCAAAGAACTAATTAACAGTTTGTTTACATTACCATTTGAAAGTAAAGATAGCAAATTGAAGGATGGTGAGACA